TTTCTAGTTTTTTTTTTTAATGTGATGTTTTATTTTATTTTATTTTTTTATGCCTACAGGACCTGGTCTTCCTAGGTGATTTCCCATCTAAATACTAACCAGGCTCAACCTTGGTTAGCTTCCAGGATCAGATGGGATCGGGCGTGTTTAGGGTGGCATGGTCGTAGACTATCTTTTTCTAGTTTTATGAGAAATACTTCCACCCAAGAGTAAAATAATGGGGGAAGGAAGGAGAAGGAACAGGCAGAAAGAAATGAAGATTTTAAAGAACGAGGTCTCTAAAAAAGCCAAGCTGTTTCCATCCCACAGTGATTGCCTCTGAGGCCCAGGGCTTTTACAGGTGTGCACAGCAGATTTAGACAGGAAGCAAGAGCTGTCCTGGAATTAAATTCTTACACCTTTTCCCAGTGCCTAGAATGTTCTCTTATTTGGTGACAAAGGGAAAATCATTCTGGGATACTGGTTCTCAACTGGGGGTGATTCCCCCCATAATGCCAAAGGGACGAATGGCAACATCTAGAAACATTTTTGGTTGTCACAACTTGGAAAGAAGGGTGCTACTGGCATCTAGTACATGGAGGCCAGGAGTGCTGCTAACCATCCACAGTGCACAGGACAGGCCCCGCTCCTGGCCCCAACCCAAAGAATGACCTGGCTTTGTCAGTAGTGCAGTGCTTAAGAAACCCTGTCCTACAGAGAAACTAGGAATAGGCAGGTAACATTGTCTCTGGGGCCATTACGACAGATCCCACCTGGTTCTCAACCCTAGGCAACTCAGGACCAAAACTGAGGCCAACTGACCACACCAGATTACCCACCACATAGCATCATGGGTGTGTCATGACTCTGAAAAGAAGTACTCACCGGGTTTTGATGGTAGGGCTATAGAGGGAACATTTGGTAGAGGAACTGTTTCAGGTCCACTGATTTCCAGTAAATTCTTGTCTAGTTCTTCCTGTTCTAGTTCTTCTAATTCTGCCATGAGCTCATCCTGGTAAAAAGAAACACAAGAATGTGAGAGACACCCCTGGGAATCCCAGCCCTTGGAGTAGTACCTCTTGCCTGATGGCTGAGGGGGCATACTCCCCTTCTGAGAGGGTCAAGGAGAGATGAACTCCAAGTCCACACTCTTTGTGACTCAAACACCCTAAACAAACTTTTCTACTGGTGAACATAACACACAATCGAGCAATTACTGACGTCTTTGGCTACATCCTCCACTAGGCTGTGCGTATCTTGAGAGAAGGGATTGTATCTTTTCATTCCTGTTTTTTATCTCAGAACTGGGCGTATTGAGTGAATATAAGAATATTTGCTGAATTGAAATTAACTTGACTAGTCCATCGAATTCTAGTCTGAAAACATGAAAACCCTGGTGTTGACAGCTGAGAGTAAGAGCCGAGAATATTTGCTGAATTGAAATTAACTTGACTAGTCAGTCCATCGAACTCTAGTTCGAAAACATGAAAACCTTGGTTTTGACAACTGAGGCTAAGAGCCACAGGCTGTTTTATCAGCTACACTATGGAAATCAGCATAAAGAATCAGGTTCAGTGGAGAGGGCCTGGACCTTCAGTGGACTCAAATCTAAGACAGAATGAAGTACTACATTCAACACTTTAAAAACCCGAGTGACTCAGAGTCCTACCTGCTATAGCAGAGACCGGTAGGTGGCCAAATTCCAGACAAATCTCTGCCTGAGGAGTTAGACGTAAATGTTCCTTCTTTGGCTTCACCTTTACCTCACCTAAGAGTTGTCTGAGTACAAATCCTGTAAACTTCTCCAGGCCATGGTCACCTTAGCTGCCCCAGCTATTTGCCCAGAGCCTTTCACGGAAGCAGTGAAGGGTAACTACCTACTTGTCGAAATCAATTATTGACCTAAAGCCTACTAAGGGGGCCCAACAAAGGTTCCTTTACTCTACCTAAGCTTCTACCCCAAACAGTAAAATCATCCCTCAAATTCAAGAACTAGGGAAGGTTAATGCTCTGTACATCCAAGTCTCTGGAGGGATAAGAACTGGTGGTGATTTCCATACCACATGCTTCCTGCCAGAGAACCTTCAATAGCACATCGAAGGGCAGCTGGTGTCATTCATGAAGCTTATGTGATCTGCATGAAACTACTCACCTCATCAAATTCTTCACCAAACCCTACAGGTTTTGAAATAGCTGTTGAAATCTCCTCTGCAAGTTCTTGCTGGTCAGCAATGTCCTGCATTAACTCATCAACTTTATCGATGTCCCTTTAAATGAAAGGGAGAGATGTCATATCGATGATCAGTCTATGTAAAGAGAGTATGTGAGGCAGGAACAAAAACTCTGTTCCACACAACCTTCTTCCCAGCTCCATTCCCTACAAATCACTCCCTGTGAAGAATTAATCTTTATTGTCTTCCTCCTCTCCCTTTAAAATAGAGAATCACAGAATCAAGAAGATGGAGGTGTCCTTAGACATCACCTAGTCCAACACCCTAAGGAAATAAGGTTGAGCAAAGTTAGGTGCCATAATCATAGTCTCTCATGAGACCACAGGACTTTCACTCCTGGGCAAATAGCTGTTCTTCAAGCTCAAAGGCAAGGCAACTCGACAGGGGGAGATAAAAATCACAAATCATAAAACGAAGCCATGCCACTTGACAGGCCCTTCCCATCTACTCAAACCAACTTATGGCTCCTCTACTAGATCTCAAAGGAAAAGTAAACATGCAGAATTATTTTCTATACACTGTCAATCTCAATCGTATAAACATACCATTAATCGATATAATATGTACACAAATACTTCAAAGTGTGCACAGTATTTACTGAGATGTACTTTGTGCTAAGCATCCTGAAGAACATAGAAATGAAACAGACATGAATCGCACTAAGGAAACTAAGTCCAATGAACATCCACTATTTGAAGGATACTTTTCCTACACCCCCATGTTTCTAGAGCAAGGATAAAGAAACTTTTCCTGTAAAGGGCCAAATAGTAAATATTTTGGAATTCGTGGGCCGCATGATCGCTTTCGTAAATATTCAACCCTGCTGTGTAGCACAAAAACAGCCAGAGACAGTAGGTAAATTAATGGGCATAACTATATTTCAGTAAAACTTTATTTATAAAAATAGGTGGCAGGCCTATAGGCTGCATTTTGCCAACCCCTGTTTTAAGCAGGGTTGAGTACCGAAAAGGAAGGAAAAAGGGGCTCCAAGCACCGTCAAATATATGCTGCCAAGTCTAAGCACCAAAAAAAAAAAAAAAGTAGAATTCTGTTCATGGGAGAGACCTGCATTTGGAGCCTAGTGTTACCCTGGCCTTTGATTACAACTGTAACAAGCTTGGTTATCTAGTTTGTTAGGCCACTGTATATGAGGAGTAGCCACATAAAGGAGAGGCTGCTGAAGTCAAGAACATTGGCAATATGACAGCCACAGTAGAGCAAGGACAGAGGCAGAAACTTCCACCAAAAGCATACAAAAGAATAGACAGATCCAAAGCCCTTGATGAACCATGTTTCAGGGCCCCTGACAGCATCAAGAAAAAGTCATGGACATTAGTTCATAAATATCCAAGCTCATAAAAAAAACCAGGGCAAGTCACTTCCCCTCTGTGACATGGCTTCCCCACCTTGATAATCAGAGACCTGGGTAAGAGGACCTTCTAGGGACCTTTCCAGCTTGAAACTAAGCTCATCACAATAACCCTGAATTACTCAGAAAATACTGTTTCATTCCATGAGACCTGTCTCTGAAGGCAAGGTACATGACCCATTTTAGAAAGAGTTCCAAAAAGAATGCAAATTAAAACAAACTCAGGTGCTTGAATGAATAAGTCAAGAGGTCTGCCCAAGGCTTGGGCTCCAGGCATTCCAGGGCCGGCACTGCCCTGCAGCGCGGGTGCCCCCTTCCACCAGCAGGTAGCTACGTACATGTTGTCGTGAGCAGCTTTCATGGCCTTGGCGGCATAGCCCATGTTCTTGAGCACCTCGGTGTTGGTGTTGGCGTTCTCCAAGGCCTCTCGCTGGAACTCAATGGTCGACAGTGTACCATCGATCTGCGCCAGCTGCTTTTCATACCTCTTCTTGCGCTTCAGTGCCTGAAGGGCCGCTGCATAGGGAGAAAACAGGATTTCACAGAGTCCAGACACAGAGTAATAACCTGGAGTTCACTTCTAGGATATCTAGGGTCTTCTTCTTAATTGTGAGAGATGACCCTCAGTTGTTGCTTCCACTATAACAAAGGATTAACAATCCCCTCTATACAAAGGGCACATTCAATTTTCTGAGAAAACTACACAGAATTCACATACTTCAAAATGCAACCAAGCATTTAAGCAAAAGTGCACATTATCTGGTAACCATATACACACAGATCAAAGCATGGAGAGGCATCCAGAGTAAGAATGTGCTCTGAGTCAAAACCCAGCTCACAGACTTAGGTGAGCTACTTAGCTTCCATGATAAGTTCATTGTGAGGAATAAATGAGATAATATGTGTAAGCATCTAGCATAACAATAAGCAGTGGATCCCCAAAAAACATCAGCTCTAATTATGATAAAGCAATTTTAAGGTATCATTTTATGCCAACTAAATTACAAAAATAATAATGACTATATCTACTAATGGATCAGTTGGGATTAAAATGCTCTCTCACACATTGCTGACAAATGTAAATTGTTATGTTTCTAAAAAATATATGGCAACAAACAGCAACAGTCATAATGATGTTCCTGCCCTCTGACCCAGTAATTTCCTTCTGGAAATGTAATCAACAAAGCAGAAAGCCCCATGCCTAAAGATGGTTACTATAGCAATCTCTATCATGGAAAACACAACAAAACATCATCTATCTCGTCTTCTGGCGTGTTAAGGCATGTTAAGAGATCATCTTGTTTTAAGGTCCAGTCAGGACAAACAATTTGACCAAGGTGAATTCATGATGGAGCAGGGGCCAAAACCTCATCTCCCTACTCAAAACCCAGGCTTCCCGCCCCTTACTGTTTCAATTACTCTCTTTACACTAAAAACGATCTTTAGCACACATCTTAGACAGTTCTCAAAGCCAGGAAGGACGCTCAGCACAGACTCAAGTAGAAGGAATGGACTTAGTCAGGGAAGCTGCCCAGCCCCTATCTTGATCTGGAGAGCACTAGCCTTACATACATATGGTCACACATATGCACCCAAGCACACGTGCTCCCCATATCCCCAGGCTCCAGCCCAGAGTCATCTCCTGCAGGCTGTGGGCAACAATCAATTACCTCCCCCACAGGGCTGTGGTTTCTCCACACGTCACATAAATAGGTTCCATGCTCCTTTCAGTCATACTCCCTATTAGCCTAGGATTACATTCCGAGGACCATTTGCCAAGGGCAAACAGGCTTAGCCTGCATGTAAGCAGTCCACAGTTCCTCCAAAAGCAGCAGATAAAATCACCAGGAAAATTCCTCCAGCCAAAAACTAAGGCAAGCTAAACAGAAATTTAAAAAGAAAAGAAAAGAAAAAAACCCTGAAGAAGATCAAACGTGACTCATTAAAAGCTGAAAAGTCACTCAACCTGTTATCTGCCTTGATTCTGGTGTGAATGGCCAGAACGGCATATGACTTCAAGAAATCCAACTTGAAATCACACCCTGGGGTCCCCAAGACCCCTTACTCAATACCTTTACCTTCTGCTAGTACTAAGTCATGCATGCAAAATAAGTACCTCACGACAGCAACCCTTCAAGGTAGAAATGACTGCCCTTTTTAGTAGATGAGAAAACAAACTTCACAGAGGTCACGTAGCTCAGGTCACCAGGTGGTTAAGCAGCAGAAAGGGGACTAAGCCAGGTGCGGAACTCTAAAATCCACACCCTGCCATTCTAATTTTTATGCCTCTCACTTAATGAAAAAGGTAAGATCCTGCCCTGGAGGGAGTGTTAAGAGGACTGTGGGAACATAGAGAAGGGAGTGCAAATCCAACTATGTCATTTCTTCCTTTAAAACCCTCAACAGCTCCCTTGACCCACAGGACAAAGCCTCCATGTGGTTTAATGTGGCCCCCGAGGTCCTGCAGAAAGAAAGGGACTGAGATTCTTGCTACAAGCCAGGTTCTGGGAGCCCCAGTGCCAGATGTGAATCCCTTTGCCACTGACCATTATATAAGAGGGAAGATATTCTGGGAGAGTCCTGGTACATAAATGCTCCAGGCCTGGGACTCCTTCCTCGTGACTTCCTTGGTGCCGAGTTGCTTTTCCACAGAAACCAACCCAAACACATCTCAATCAGCAAGTGATTCTCAAGGTTTCTCAGGCCAATGTCCCATACTTGCCCTTTTACCAGGTCCTCTCCAGCCATCCCCACCACCCATGGCGTAGCCCAACCTATAACAACTTGTCCACCAATCAAAATTCAAGAAGGTAGTCTGAGAGCTTTCTACGTGGAAAGCAAGCAAGGGGCTGTGGCAGTCCCATCTACCTCCTTATTTAATCTTCCTGCAACCCAGTCATGGGGTAGAGATCCCAGATCCATACAAACAAGGAGCCTGGAGATCAGAAAGGTGAAGCAGCTCATCCAAGTCACTCTGTTAAGAGGGCAGAGGAGGGCTCAACCACTGGTCTGTGTAAATCCCCAGGCTTCTGCTCTTCCCACACAGGCTCAGAATGATGGCAAATGACTCTAGGACAGTTCTCGAGAATAATTAAGATGACACAATGGCCTTGCTTTTCAGTGTCCTGAGTGTAGCAGGAACCAAATGTATTCTTCCTTCATTACCACAGATTGAGAAATGCTTTAACTTTCTCTCTAACACGTTTCCAACTGGCAGTGACTCCTTGTATGCCGATCTTACATTTCTCTGATCTCTACTCTTCTTCTAAAATCCCCCAAGCAATAAATGACCTGGAAGCAAATGTCTCAACATACTAGGGAGGTAAGCGACAGTCTTCCCATGAATGAAATAATGTTTATATTATTCACCTTTACAGACCAACATTCAGCACAATGACTAGTACAAATTAAGTGCTTAGTATATATTAAGTTGAATCTTCAAATTCATCTGTTTTTTTTTACATTTTTCATATGTTCTGTACAGTATTCCTCATTTGGGGTGCACCTGTATTTTATCTCCTATGCATCTCTGATTTAGGAGAAATAATAATGTCTCGTTGAAACACAAGCTAAAACAACCATTTGGCAGGTTTCTTTCCCTGAATTCTTCCTGGCTCATAAAATAGGAACTTCTGCAAGCTTCTGCCCTTCCCTTTACCTTCCCTTTATCCTCGCCGTAAAGTATGCCTCTTTAAGATTAGGAAAAGGTCCTGGGCAACAGCCCAGCCTCCAGGGCTACCTTTCCTACTAGCAGAGTTCACGGTCTTCTCTCCTCCATGCAGTGAACACTCCAGGACGGTGTCCAGCAGGGACAGTTTATTTGTTTACCCCCATCTAACTCCTGTGTGTATTTCCCAACTAAGAACTCTTAAAGAGAAAGGGTGCGCGATTATTTTCCCCCTCCATACATGGTTCATGAGTAAAGTAACCTTTAAATTTGACATAGGGTCCGCACTTGGGCTGCAAGAATACGTGTAAACATGTTTGCAACACTTTAACCACTCTCTATCTCGCCAACCTGTGGCACCACGGTGAAGTTTAGCTTAGAGCAAACAAAATGAGTAAAATACCACTCTTCCCGCAGAGTTACACTGAAAGTAAAACAGCCTCCAATCCCAACCTTATTTCTTACCACAAGACTGCTTCTGTATGTAGCCAAAGTTAAGAGCCAAGTTCAATGTTTTACATAAATATATGCTGGCTCTTAATGTCTTCCTTATACTTCTCCAAATTCCTGATGGTTGATTAAAAAAACAAGTACTAGATTCTCATCATAAGAAAAAACAATTCATAACTATGTGAGATGATAGATGTTAACTAAACTTAATGTGGTAATCCATATTTTTGAGATATATATATATATATATCTCAAGTCATTTGTTAAGCACCTAAAACTAATATAATATGTCAAATATATCTCAATAAAATTGGGGATAAAAACAAGTACTGGGTTTACAAGGAGTTTATCTAAACCAAATATTCAGCGAAGGGTTGTACAAAGAAATCCCTTTTCTGCCAAAGAATCTCACTGTCAATCATAAGCACAATGGCTTTAACAACTGAAATCTAACCCAGGCCGATAGAAATTTAAGAGGTTGCTTTTAGATGGAAAAAAATAGTCCTTGGAATCTCCATATTTAATTATGCCTTTGCTAGTTCCAAGAGAGTAATTACAGCAGCAATTACAGAATCTAATAACCAGCTTTATTGGCTCTGAAAGCTGAAGCAAAAACAACTCCAACCATGTTGAAATAAACATTGGTCTCTAGACAGTTGCTTCATTAGACACTCTAAACAGCTATTTGGAGGAAAAATACAGAAGAGATACCTCAAGAAGCAAAGAAACCAGTGGGAAAAGATGTTCAGCCAGGACCGGAAACTCCTTCTACAAGGCATCTGTTAGTGACTGTACAGAAACCATTTTCAGAGAACACATCAGTTCAATATAATTAGATAGGACATTTCTATCTCTTACGCAAAGGCACACTTCACGTCTCTTTGAAGAGTTGCTGAGAAGGGTAAGTTTGCCTGCCCCAATCTGGCGGTATTCACTGTAGGGGCCATTAGCCTAGGGCATCTCAACAGATGCTAAGAAGTCTTAACTGTACACTCATTACTCATACAAAGAGATTCACGCATTGCGGGAAAGGAAAGTCCAGTAATACCCTCTCACTAAATGAATGATGGTGTCTACAGTTCTTTCAAGGAAGGACCCAAGATTCCACATCTGGATTCATCTAGCAGAAGTTTCAAAGGCTGAGAGAAGGAGAGTGCTGCTTCTTTCCCACTCTTAGCATGAACACAATACAAACATACTCTAGAGGACACTTACACACAAATGCAACACAAAGTGAGAATACTGAAGAACCCTCAGCAGCCTGGTCAAGACAGGGCTGTTGGCAGACAGGGAGCTGAGTGAAGCTGAGGGAACAATCATTCAGATGCTCTTTGCTCATTATGCCCATGAATAAACCTCAGATGTTCAGGGTACCCTCAGCCAAGAGAACCATACCTGG